CCTACACAGACCTTGTGTTGTATGGGCATGAATTGTCCATGCCATATTCAGTGCCAGTAACTGCGCATATTGATAATCTAGTTAGGAATCTTAAGGTTAAGATTGGCTTTTATTTTAGAAATAAATCTTGTTTTACTTATAATGCTAAGAAAAAACATGTGGAAACTTCTACCTGTGATTGATTATGGCTATAAACATGCATGCAGCCTCCTCTATTTTAGGAAGCCCTGATTCAGTGTACCATGCATCTTTGCGTTTCATTACAAAGTGTCTTACTCACCACTACATTCTTTATGAATGAATGGGATGGACATCAGTCATCCTTCATAGACAACAACAGTGGTATATGTTTGTCTGTAAAGCAATACTGGGTAAACTTCCAGCTTATCTTTGCACCTTTTTCTGTCTCAGTTTGGGTGGTTACTTTTTAATGTACCATGAATTTTTACACATCTGGGGAAAACAGCATTTTCCTACTATGCACCTTGGTCATGGAATAACTTGCAGAAAAATTGAAAGTTGGATACATTCATATCTACTGCAGAATTTAAGGATATCATAAAGAATGTAGTGAAGGAGACATGTAGCTCTTTCTCTTGAGAGTCTGTTGCTTTTATCTTGTGAATGGAATTTTTATATGTTGTGTTGTATGTGTTGAATTTTAATATGCTGTAAATTTGCGTGGCTGCCATCTTGGCCAGGTCTCCTTTGAAAAAAAAGATCTTGATCTCAGTGGGACTTCCTGGTAAAATAAAGGTAAAAAAAATAATCCTAGAGTTGCATTCGGCTACTTGCGTTATGTGAAAGGCATATCGACATTCCTGTGCTATAACTGGCAGCCTATAGCATATGCTGCAAATACAGGAGAGGGGTGGGATAATTGCTTTTTGCCTAAAGAGGCAGACATGCACACACCTGTCCTGGCCATATTACAATCAAATCACAAGATGGAAAACAAAGTGAAGAGGTGTATTGCATTTTAGTGTTGTTTAACAAAGGGCAGCACTGGCCTTCAAACACTAAACGCAAAGCACAGTCAGTACTTT